TCAGATCAATCAGATCTGAGATCATACTTTTTAGTACACAAAATGGCAGCGCCCATGACCAAGTGAACGAACAGCGCCAATTTGATTGTTTTGGCTGCAAAGTTTCTTTTGGCTTATATGCTTTTTGGAAATGGGAATACCGTAACGTCTTGTCTCTTCAACTAAGACCACAGAAATGGAAGGTAGTAGATCTATAAGGTTTATAGAATCTAGTCTAGATTCTATAGCTCATCTGTCGTTTTGTTTCTAGGCTGTCTGTAACTCATCAAGTAACTGCCCACTACTACTGTGACAATAATTCTTCATCAATAATGATCTCGAAAGAGTGGAAGAGAAGCTGAATTCGTTTGAACTTTAATGCCACAACTTTACGCTGACCAGACTGAATTGACTCGATTGTAAATTATATCCCAGTTGTAACTAAAATGTCCTGTGGGAGTGTGATGAGGACATTTTAGACAGGACATTTTAGTCACAGAGATAAAGCCGGTGATCTTATACTTCAGCACGTTAAATTCTTCAATTGATTTTATTCCCTTTTCCGTAATGAGCGACCACTTTAAAACATGATCTATCTAATCAAGATTATACTCACTGGCTTCCAAAATCACAATGGAAGACCGAAAACCACTGTTATACCATCTGTTCATGACAAAATTACGGTAGTTTGCGCATTTTTAGGCCCAGTTCAAAGTTTTGAAGGTCTGAGTCGGGGATTAGTAGACTTTGGGAATTTAACGTGCTAAAGTATAAGATCACCGGATTCAGACCTCAGACAACACTTTTAATGTCCTTAAAAGAACATGATTTCTGTGTGGATTGTACTGAAAAACGTAAATTTAAAGGCATACAAAATTACACTTCAGTTCACTAAATTTACCTCTGAGACCAGGCGACCCCCACCACCTTCAATCATATAGATTCTACTATCTCGACTTGTATTCTTAGATAAATTCTCAAAATATTTTTTTTTTAATCGAAAGCAAGACAAATAATGAAAAAGCTTTAACACTTTGTGGTCTCTCTGCTCAATAATAATGCACCCGTGAAAATTATTCATTCCGGTCAGGCGCCAGGCCCGAGAAGTCCGTTGCAGTCACTCTCCTGGCTGGCTGACCAGATGGGGTATTTTGTACCATGCTGCGTGACTGCAAAGTATTAAGAGTTAAGACAACACCAATAACTCCACATGCCCAAAAAATGACGAGCGCCTGATTCCAGCTCGTCATGCGTGACACATTTTTTTTCAGAATATGAGCAAGAGTTGTTGGTGTTGGAGGAGGAGCTAGCCGTGGTCGATTCGGAGTTGCAGGACTTGCTGGAGCGTCAGAGCCAACTGATGGATCGCAAGACTGAGCTGGAGGCCATCATCTCACAGCAAGCGCAGACGGAGAAACAGAAGAAAAACAAAGCTTGGGATGGAACCGGTGAGATACGTATTTCCACTTGAAGTAGTGGTTGTGTGTGTGTGTGTGGGGGGGGGGGGGGGGTGCATGTTTGTGTGTGAGGTGTGGCTGTGTTTGTGTGGTGTGTATGTGTGTATATATGTGTGTGTGTGTGTCACTGGTGAGATGTCCTTCCACTGGACTTAATGTTTGTGTGTGGTGTGTGTGTGTGTGTGGATGGCACTGGTGAGATGTTCTTATCAAATAGGAGCAGAGTATTCATAATCACTGTTTACCATTTTAAAAATGTTTAGAGACATCACATTCAGTAACTTTTTAATTGCAAACATATTTTTGTGTATCAAAAATGTCTTCTATCAGTACTTCTACTTCTCAGTGCCTTTACTTATAATTTCAAATGTGCATGGTTTTCATATTTCACATCTAAATAAAGTAATTTTTCTTTACTCCTTAACAAAACAGACTGTAAGTAAATTTTATAATGTGCAGATGAAAGCAAGAATTGTTTAAAGACCGTGAGTATGGTGGTGGTATTGTATGATACAGGATAGAAAATGTGAGCACGAAATGTCCTTGGCACTTTGTCATTTTTTTTATCCTTCTGTACCATAAGTAGTTTAACACTTTCCATCCACACAGTGCACAGAGCGCACAACACTTGTCCCCACGGACCAGGATGCAGATGGGCTTCATCAGTTTGGCAAAAGTACCCCAGCCATTATAAAATTTTCAGCATACTGAGATAATTGAAAGTGATGATCCCATGTTCACCAAAAAAGGAATTAGAATCTGAACTGAAAACATTAGAACTTGCTCATTCATCACCCGAATTGTCATCATGGTGTAAGAGTAAAGCAGCACTCATACTAGGTTTACTTGATTTTTTTTTTTTTTAATTCACTCTGATTGTTGTATGCAAACTAATTTTCAATCTCAAAGGCCCCACAAACCAAAAGGAAATTTAACTTTAACAAGTGCATAGGTCAAAAAGGAGATCGTTGCTACAGCATTTTTGTTGCTATATCACACCGTTGCCGATCGGTGCCCCATGGGGGAAAGGGACAGCTTCTTACCGTTGCCGATCGGCGTCTCGTTGGGGCAAAGTGTTAAAACTGTGAAATTCTTTGCCAGACTTTCCTTGGACGCAAGAGATGGACGACAAGCTGACCAGCGTGTTTAAGCTCCACTCGCTTCGACCGATGCAGAGGCAGACGATGAATGCGACGCTATCTGGCGAAGATTGTCTGCTGATCATGCCCACCGGCGGGGGAAAGAGTCTGTGCTTCCAGCTGCCGGCCATGGTCGGGAATTGCAAGTATTTGTTGTCATCTTGTCTACTTGGTAGGGTAAAAGTAAACTTGGATCCCCTGCTGAGGGCTGACTTGATCTAGTACGCAGATCCCAGATGACAGCGGGGTTGATGCTATGTCTTACAAGAAGAGCAAACAGCCTGCTGGCTGCGATCATCATTACACATGATATATAAATGATAAATATACACCAGAGGGGGGGGCTATACTTTACTTTTATCTCTTTTTTGAGCTTAGACATGTTATAATTTTGTGTGCGTGGCGTGTCCATAGATAATGAGAGAGAGAGAGAGATATGGCCAGTTGTGTGGGTCACCTTTCTCCTGCCTGTTTTTGTAGCTGAATCAACGACACCGACTGACAAACACAGCCAGGTGACAGGTAAGTCTAATCTTGGCTTAACGACACAGACTGTCTCCCCACACACACGGTCTGACTCCTCCTCCCCC